CTATGACCTCTACAAGTGGCTTCTGATCAGCACTTTTAATGTAACTGTGCAAATCTCTGTCAACTTGAGTAAGTCGTCCTATCAAACTAATCAAAATAAAGATAGCTCGACTTCCATGATATTCTCCTAAATTAAGAATAAATCTATCTTAAAACTACCTCCTCACCTTCATCCCTTTACAACTCCGCAACTTGACAATGCAAAGGTAAGAGTCATTTTTATTTCATTGGCACTACTATATTGATACTGAAAAAATTATAGGTTATCGGGTTGTACTCTACTAAACTTGCTACTTGAGGAACCTGAATGCTATAGTGGATAGCCTAATAGGTAAGTGAGAATGCACTATACGATTCAGTAAAGGGTTCAGCAAGCAATTCATTATGTGAGCTAACTATCAGCTTAGCAGATGAGTTAGAAAGTTCAACAAACAAGTCCAGCATATATTTCTACAAGCAATTTTGCAAGCGATTCGGTAGGGGATTCAGCAGGCACTTAAGCCAGAGATTCAGCAGGGGATTTAGCAGGAGATTCAGCAGCCGATTCAATAATGATTCAGCAGGCCATTCAGCGGGCGATTCAGCAAGTGATTCAGCAAGGTGTAGTTGATGGGTGGGCAACTGGAAAGTTGGAAGTTCAGAAGAGATAGTGAGCATAGTGGTGGGATTTTAGTTAGAGTAGTTGATTAGATAAAGTTGACAGATACAGTTGTTGTAAATATGACTGCAGTAGAGGGATGGAAATATCCAGATAGGAATATGACATCTAAGGATATTAGAGACCAATTTCAAAGGTGCGGGTCTTGATAATACAGTGTAGCGTTCGCACTCGGTGTGAGTTCTCAGTCGGTTTTTCTGAGTGAGTGGGGTTTCGGGTCGGTTTGTCACACCATAAAACGTACCCGACTCGGCTGCTAAGTGAGCCGGTATGAGTTGTATGTATGGCGTGACTGAGTTGGTGTGACAATGTACAACTACTACTTAGTTCCAGAGTGAGTTTATAGTAGGGTCGGAGGAATTTTGTTAAAGGCTTACACCGACTCAGCTCACACCGATGCGAACACTATCTGAGTGCTATCCTTCGGTGTCAAGTCGACACCCCCTACCACTACACGTAATGCCATTCCAACCAAGTGACACCTCAAGAGAGGAGTGGGAAGACAGGTTAGCCAGAGAAGAAGACGAAGGGTAGACATGTGTCTACACTGACGGGAGTAGGATGGGCGATAGCACTGGAGCAGGAACCCATCACAACCAGACAAACACATCACTGTATCTAAGCACCCATGCGACAGTGAATGACGCGGAACTGATGGCAATGGGCGAGGCAATGGCCCAGGACGGAGAGCTGCTGATCATCACAGATTCCAGGATAGTGATCACCAAGCTAAGGAAAATCGCGGATGGCCACCCAACACACGAGGGTCCCGCCCAAGTTGTGAGAGAGCAGTGGGAAAAGAGGGCAGGGAGAGGTGACCTAGACGTAGCCGTCATGTGGGTTAAATCACATATAGGCATTCAGGGCAACAGCGAGGCAGACAGAGCTGCCAAAGTCGGCACCGCCCTACAATATCAGGACGAGACGGTCACCGAAGCCGGGATTCGCCAGTATGCCGAAGCCCAGAGGGCCGAGGAAAGGAACAGACTACAACTGACATATAGGCCACTCCAATGGCTAGCTAACCGAAAGCTGGTCACCACGCTGGCTGGCATCCTAGGAAACAAGGGACTGAGACAATAGAAACACCAAATCGGAAAGGTGGACTCGCCGGAATGTAGGTGGTGTGGCAGAGCGCTAGAAAACACCATCCACATCTTCAACGAATGCCAACCCTGGAAAGACAAATGGCCGGGAGGAGAAGCAGACCTTAAGGCGCCCCCCAAGGCAAGAGAAAGGGAAGGAGACAATCTGGTCAGGTTATTGACGTGGGCAGGGATGGACTAGACAACGGTTTAGCATTTCACTTTTCCTTTACTTTCATTTTTACTTATTTCACATTTCCAGTCAGATTTTATTCAGTCATATGTAACTAAACATCGCCATAGCCCATAGGGCGGCACGCGATTAATGATATATAAAAAAAAAAAAAAAAATTCGGTGTCAAGTGTACACCTCTATCCTCTTGATGTCGCCCCCCCAGGGCGCGTCACCCCCCAGGGCGCGTCACCCCCTAGGCGCGTCACTTCCCTAGGTGTGCCACGCCCCTAGCAGTTGTATAGACCCCCGAGCGAAGCGAGTGGGGTCTCTCAGGGAGCATGTGTGCAAGCGGATGTTCAAAACTCACTCTGAAGGATCCTCGCGGTCGTGAGGGTACTCCGTGACAGAACCAGAGCCCCTAACCCGGTCGCAAGCTCTGCCTCAGCCCCCGCCGCACGCTCTGCCCCATTGCGAGCGTAGCGAGCGGGTGGTAATGTGCTAGCGTTGTAATGTTACGGAGTCTACGGTAATGTAGCTAAAGTGAGAGTGTAACTTAGGACAACGCTTGAAGCTTGACCATCTCTCGAAGGCCGAAGGCCCTCCTTATATAGCCAGCTCCCCGCGCATGCCCACTGTATGTTCTATTGCTTATGCTATCTATGCTTTACAATCGATAACAACGTTTTGGTAGCTGAGGCTGTGCACAATAAGCCTACGCATACTCTTGACACTTGGTGGCGCAACTCACTCACTCAACCATGCGCTCTGCTTGTGATACACTTCCGTGACCCGACGTGTCAATTGTATTGCCCTGCTGTAGCTATCGGTTGATCAGGCCGAATGGTCACTATCAGCCTTACGGGCCAACTCAGGTGTATATCCCCAGCATCTCTGGGCAGGCCCGTGACGCAATGACTAGGACCTCCTCCAAAAAAAAAACAAAAGAAAGAAAAAAAGGACCTCCTCCTTCCAGGCCTCCAGTGGCAGGTCGTGGGCATGAGCTACCTCCCTGACTACCTCTGCTACCCTGGCCCCAATCCGTTTCATGTCCTTAGCTGGTCCCCAGTTTACTACCACGCAATTGATATCATCGACGAACGAGGGATCTCCACCTCGCATTGGCATTCTCTTGCAGCCCTAGCTGTGTTTCAGCTCCATCTCCTCCAGAATTGGTGCCATGTAGATCAGGAACGCTACTAGGGATGATATAGCTTAAGTGAGGGTGTAACTTAGGACAACGCTTGAAGCTTGGCCATCTCTCGAGGGCAGAAGGCCCTCATTATATAGCCAGCTCCCCGCGCATGCCTACTGTATATTCTATTGCTTATGCTATCTATGCCTAACAATCGATACTTTTGCCACCAGCGGCGCAGCCCTTTGCTACTCCCTCAACCATGCGCTCTGCTTGTGACACGCTTCCGTGACCCGACCTGTCAATTGTATTGCCCTGCTGTAGCTATCGGTTGGTCAGGCCGAATGGTCACTAGCAGACTTACGGGTCAACTCAGGTGGATATCCGCAGTCTCTCTGGATAGGTCCGTGACATAAATGAGGCAAAAACACTGAGCGGTCGTGCTGAGAGCCTGTTCCAACACGAGTTTGCGGGACTCAGAAGCGAGGTACGAAACATTCTAACACAATCGAACCTCGAATTCATAGACATGCTGAGGAAGTTGAAGAACTCGATTCATCAAATAGTGCAATTGGGGAATTTAGGGATCCAGAGGTGATGGTTACTCTGCAGTAGTATCGTAACCAACTTTATAGTACACATATGGAGTTGACATTGCGGACTTAAAATGGCAATAGCAAGGTTAGTCTCATAGGAGTGTGGGGGAGGTCGGCAGCGGTGGCGGAGGTGGTGGGGAGAATGGCGACGGTGTTCGATGGGGAGGTGAGGGGAGTGAGAAAGGCGCTGGAGAGTGTGGAGGAGGAGGTCCCTGTACTGATCTGTTTGGACTCTGAGGCTGCCGTCATGGCGATCCAGAAGGCAGGCAGGGAGGGAAAGGGGAAAACCGAGGATGTGAGGAGAGTGGCGGATGCCGTGGCGAGGAGGAAGAAGAAGGGAGGGCGAAACTGATGTGGGTCAAGGCTCACATTGGGATTGCAGGAAATGAGAAGGCGGATGAGTGGGCGAAGAAGGGGACGGTGATGCAGGGGAAGGAGGTGGCCACCGGAAGTGGGGTGCGCCAGAGGGTGAAGGCGTGGAGGAAGGAGAAGAGAGAAGTGGAGGACTTTGGAGGAGGAAAGGTAATGGAGTGGAGTAGGGTGGCGACATCAAACTTCACTGCATTGCGACTGGAGCGAGGAAGGTGTGCTAGGTGGTTGAAGAAGCTGGGGGTGGCGGAATCGGATAGGTGCAGGTGTGGGGAGGAGCAAACAGGGGAGCACCTCGCTTTCCGATGCAGAAGTCAGGAGAACCGCCCAGAAGGTTTTGGGAAGTGGAGCGACATGGAAAAGGATTGGGAAAGAAAGGTGGAGAATGGGGAGGAGTATGACGTTTTAGAGAATTTCTTCGCTGGGGTCAAGTTCTAGAAGGTAGGAGAATGCGGGGTCAAGTTCTAGAAGCTAGGAGAGCGGGGGCGACGGCGCGTGGGGGCCATGTACGCAGAGAGTGAGTTTAGCCTGTCTCCGGGCTATGAGGGCTTGCTCAGAGACCCTGCCATGGCCACGTGCTACAAGCAGGGTTATGTGATTTAAAAAAAAAAAAAAAAAAAAAAAAAGGTTAGTCTCATGAAGGCAAGTTGGTGGTTTGGTCATTTCTGGACGTTTGGCTCAAAGTAATAACGATAGAGGCAAGGAATAATATTATGCGAATTTGTTCCTACCCTTGATCTATAAAGAAGAGGGGTTACTTGCTAGTAAAATATGTATTCGGACATAGCGCATAATGTGCATTAGTACCCCTGTCCGAATACATATTTTACTGGCTAGTACACTTTTGCATGCTACAAGTTTGTTTTTTCCAAGCATGTTCTTTTTTTCCTTCTCCCAGAGAAATACAATATGTCCAAGGCAGGTGGAAACGCATTACGCAGCAGCATTACTTTTGAGTTCTTCGAAAACGCAATTTTAATGTTTACGCCCGCTTGGCTTAGTGGTAAAGCGTCGCACTTGTAACCCCGCCAACTGAGGCGAAATTTCAATTGATGCGAAGATCAAGAGTTCAATTCTCTTAGTGGGCAATGGAAAAGCAAAATTTTGTCTTAGTAAGTTTGTATTTTTTTTTTGCCACATTTTACTTTCATTGGTTCCATGGTACTTTGGCATACACCGTTGAATCGTGCATCCCGTCGCACGTGGAATCCCATGTCGCGATGGTGTGTTGGTGTGAAAAAACCTTTTGTATTGGTGTCCAGACTATGTAGTGTCGATCCCATCACGCCAATGCAGGGGTGTGCGATGACGTGATTCTTGGCCTCGGAGCACATCTCAGTTTAGGTCTAAACGCCAAGACGTGACGTCCAGTGACAGAGGTTGGAATAAAGTTATCCGATGTAAGTCCAATTGTTAACCACACCTTAGCGGGAAACTAACTATTAGCTCCCGCTCCCCTGCACCCGAGCGCTTATCGATAGCACATTCACCGATACCGGGGTGGCGCCAGCAGATCCGCTGCAGGGTTTGGTTCCGAAGTTGACACCCGGGTATCCACAAATGTGGGGAACGGTGGCTAGCAACACATCTTGATTTTAATTTACGCTATGCATGCATGGGCCTAAGTTTCGTTATATTAGTTGCATGGGATGATCATCGGCTGCTTGCAAGTGTGCATTATCGTCGTATAGTAGGAGTGCACCTATCAGGACCAGTGGTTACATTTAAACACGTGCTGACTAATAAACCCATTTTAATTTATTCTTTTTATGTTGGTTATGTAACCTTGTCCCAGATACTGGTAATGAAGGAAGTGCCTGCTGACGTTCAGGCGTCGGTCGCAGTACAGTCACTTTTTTCGCATCTCATTTTTTCATCACCGCAAAGCCTCCTAATCTGGATCGTGATGTATATCGTACTTAGTCTTATCGTACTATTTAACTTCTTCTAAAATTCTGGAAAAAAAAAATTATTATGATTTGAACGATACGCGCCGATACGGACACGCGTGGTCATATGGCGAAGGGGGTATCGTGATCATTTTCAAATGTGGAAATAATCTTCGCACACTAGTACTAATATAATATTCTTGGCACAGTACTCCTGTTCAACCTGGTACTTGCTACTACTTCGACCTGAATTGTTAGTTTGGAGAACATAGAATTCTAGCACCGACAAAATAATGCGTGACACGGGTTGACGAATGGTGGCATCGTGAGCGTGCGAGCGGCTCCACCAAGGTTGGGCGGGGGGGGTGGTGGGGGCGTACAATTCTCAGGAGCAGCAGATGCATCGACAATTTGAGTGGCTGCAATATAGCGATAAACAAGATTTTCCTGCGTTATACTTCACTTTTCATTTTTTTTTTTTTTTTTTTTTTTTTTTTTGTAACTTCGCCGCATGCCCATGTGGTGAGGCTGCTTAGGTGATTCGGGAGCGTATCGTAGCCGTGCGGGTCCGGCACAGCACAGTCGATGTTGACTCGCGAACGCGAGATGCGCAGGTAGAGAAGGAGGTGGCTGGGAAGGTCCATGGATTGGCGCACGGGTGCAGTATTGGGGGCATGGCACCGCGAGCAGATTCCGCCGGCGGATGGGTCGGTTGAGGCATAGCCGGGGAGGAGGAGTGTACCAGCACTTGATTTTGCCACCTGAGAGCTCGAGCGGGCGGGAGATGTAGTCGAGCGTGGAGGGGGTAACTGGGAGCAGAGGGAGAAAGAAGGAAGGGATGAAAGAGTTGAGGCTGCTGTGGATTCTGGTGGGCCTCAAGCAGGCTAAAACCGGGCAGTTGCGAGGTGCCCTGTGAGCCAGCGCAGCGCCGGAGATGCGGCACGTGGATCCTTAAGCATCTGCTTGCGTATGCCGTCGCGGGTGCCCTGGCGGAAGAGGACGAAGCTGATGGGAATATTATTGTCGACAGCCTGAGCTTAATGGGGACGACCGCTGGTGCTCGTGGTGTCTTGGAACAGGAGAGCGGGGAAGGAGTCGATGAAGGGCAAGGGGTCGAGGCTGCCGACGGAGTTGTACATGTTGTAGCCGCGCTCGGAGAAGACGCGGTCGCCGGGCTCCTCGTCGACGAGTGTGGCAGGTTTTCCTCCATGCAGCGCCGTGCCAGCGAGCGATTGAGAGAGGGGAAGCTGCGATACGCGGTGCGGAGTGAGCCTTTGTTTTCGCCGGCTGCTGCACCAGCGGTCGTTTTTTTTTTTTTTTTTTTTTTTCACTCCGGCGGGGTGGAAGTGGGAGCCGCCGAACGCTTCATGTTCCCTGTTCCCGTGCTTGGTAGTCATGGCTTGCTTGAAGTTCCAGTCGCACAGGTCACCGTAGCGGTACCTGCCCAGGCGGGGTACGAACCCGATCGACGCTGGCAGTCGGATATCAGGAGTCTGACTCGGCGGTCGAGCTCGGCGCGCGGGGGCTGCGTGCGCCTTGTGACGTGGATTTTGACGTTGGCGGAGTCGAGAAGGGTGAGCAGCATACGAGAGTGGGGGGGTCGAGGTATTTGATGATGTCGGGGTCAATGGTGGGCGGCGGGAGGAGGGTGGTCGGCGGCACGATGGTGGGGCTGGAGTTTAGTGACTTGGAAGATCAGGTATTTTTTTGCCTACGGGTTATTCTATGTACATGATTTTCTTCTTCTTCTGATACCCATTTGTCCTTGATAACCGCCCGGCGAAGCGCCCTTGAGGATTTATGGTGTGAACCGACTGAACCGTCTTTTACCTGTTACGGTGCGGGAACCGTGCTTTTCTTTTCTCGGGGTTATGCAATTTAGCGTCCTTGCTTTTATTGGGAGATCCCTGCTCCAACATGGAGGATGGGCGGTGATGCCTGGATTGGAAAGCTTGCATATGTAAAGAAAGTATGTGGTTCCGAGATTCCTTGGCTGAGGGGTCACGCGATCTTGGCGTAAGGCCTAGCCAGCGATGACTAATTCATGGGGGCGGAGCGATAGTAATGCCAAGAATCTGTAGAAAAAGTCGATAATTATGTGTCAATGTAATTTCGCATATAGAATAAAAGAGCTGCAAGAGACTCTGATTCATATACATAAACATAGCACCAATAGAAAAGAATGCAATAAGCCACACAGTGGCGAATGGCAACTCGGGTGTATACAGCCTAATTTCAATAGAATTATAGGCAGACCGATTCGAGTCAACACAATCCTGTCACTACTAGAACAGGGATACAAAATATTAGATTCTAGATATCTCTGCCTGCACAATTATCACTTTGGAATTTCTGCTCAGTTGGAAGAGGAATACCTGATGTATCGCTGGTAATTTTTTCTATCACCTTTTTAGATGAAAAAGTAATTATGAAAAATCTTGATTCGCGACGTCGCTCCCAAACTTGTTCTCCTACCCAGCCTGAGAGTCGGTGTGCTGCCAAAAAATAATAGTAATGGCAACCCATGGCCGAAGCCGAAAATAATAGTCCCCGTCGAAGTGGTTGTCGCTAATTATAATCAAGTTACTGCAGTGGATTCGCCCGCTGTATACTTTCCTCAACATACATCCAATCACTTAGTTCGTCCCTTCTATCTCTGTTCGATTCCTGCTCACGATATATCAAGCAAAGCCATAATAAATACATTATTTTTTTTTTTTTTTTTTTTTTAATCTCATTACTCACATGCCGCCTGATAGGCTATGGCGGGACATTATTGTCAAGGTAACCAATTTTTTTTTTTTTTCCAAAGTGTGAAAAATGTTGCAAAAGGTCTCTGATAGATCTGTATAAAAAACTCGCAACCGCACTTGGGATATGAATTAAGATGAATTCAATATGTATTTTCATAGCGAAATTTGATCACCTCCCCCCCAAAAAAATCCCCAGGTAAAGAGCTATGCTAGTATGCAGGGGGAAGTTTTGGTTAGAAAAATGCTGCTGTATGATTTGCTCGTGTGTTAGTCGACCATGTAATTGACTGCGACTGCTCTCAAGGTTGCTTCAGCGATACGCAATGCTATAGATACGCCTATATAAACTGTGGATTTAAGTTCTGAAATTGGAGATTAGAAGCATTTGAAATGTACCGTATTCACTCACTTAAGAGGTAAAACACGCCCTGCCCGAACAGCTGCGAGCGGGGTCACGTGAAAGAAAAAAAAAAAAAAAAAAGAGGTAAAACACAAACGCGCCCTAGTGTGGCCTTGGCAGAACTTCAGGCGCTATTAATATCTCTTTGTGCCATATTGGTATTACTAAGTACAGGAATGCAATTATACATAGGCTAATCTCCAGTAGTCTCATGCCAAGACCCTGCCAGCTTCTCCATTATCTCTACTCTGTAACGGAGGTGGTAAACGCAGAGAATTACCTCGCTAGTCTTCTACGTAGCTTATATAGCTATTGTGCGACTAAGACACATTTGCGCATTGCATTTTTTTGCGTCTTCCACCCGGTGACCCCGTATATCATTACTCGTATACTAACTATCCTTTGGGGTATGACAAGACTAACTACAAAATAAACGAATAAAGACACAGTAAAATAGCATACCATGCTCTCTTCTCGTGCCCAGAGTCGGACTAGTGAGCGGCACGAGCTAACTCGAGCCGAGCTGGACGATGAGCTCGAGCCAGCTCGTGGGTAAGTGAGCTCGGCCCGAGCCGAACTCGTCAAATAGAAGGTGGGCTCGAGCTAGCGAGCCTTGATTACATGGAGAATAGGGAGGCTATATATAATGTGCAACTTACCTTCTAGAGACCTTGAGAGATATTAAACATAAAAGACTTGATATAGGTCTATGTAATTGAACCACTTTTGATATTTATAGAAGTTGTTGGCAGGTTGAAACAAGCTTCGAATCTCTAATTTATTACCATATTAGGTATTTAAAGTTTATGAAACTGCGCTGGCTGAGCATTTTAGCGTGCTGTCAAGAGAAACACTAGCTTAATCTTGGCTGTCTTAAGGTCGAGCCAGAGCTCGAGCATGCCTAGCCCAGACTCTCTTATTTAAACGTGCCAAGAGAGTCTGGGCACGAGAACAACCATGCTCCGCTTCTGCCACAGCAAGGAAATCTTTTTTTCTTTTTTTTTTTTTTAATATCATTACTTACATGCCGCCCTGTGGGCTATGGT